ATATTTGATATTATTCTTAGTTGTTAATATTGGTTGTAACAGTTTAAACCATGTTGGAGACTGGGGCACACAGTTTGGTATGCTTATTGCTCACCTACAAGATCGATTTCCAAACTATGTTGAAGTTTCACCACCAATAAGTGATCTGCAAGCATTTTACAAGGTAACTCAACCTCGATATATAGCTGTTTCAAAAWAGGTTGTCGGATAAAATGGCGAATGTCAATGGTCGAACGGCGATTGCACGACCGAAAGTAGCCATGGGTTTTGCTAGTTGAAAGGCAATAACAACTGATTTGTACTGTAAGATGGTCTGTGTTAAACATTGGRTCCWTTTAGTCTCCATTTCTATGTAAGGCTAATCCAATAAGTGAACTTTTGTTTAGCAAAACAGTGTAACCATAGTCCCTTTCGGTCGTGCAATCTCCCTTCGACAATCGCCGTTCGCCGTTTTCCCCGACAACGTTTTTTGAAATAGCTGTATATATGATAATAATACAATTTCAGTATCATAATGGTTGAAGATTGTTTTCAGCTGTTGTTCTGCAATTTTTTTAATAGAGGAGAGTAAATTAATTAAGAAAAATGCTGTGCATTTAATTAGGAATCAAAGAAAAGATTTGATGAAGATGGTGAATTTAAGAAAAGAGCTTATGAGAGGGTTGTTCAGTTACAAAATGGAGACACTAATGTCCGAAAGGCTTGGAACTTGATCTGTGATGTGTCAAGGAAAGGTATTATTTTGTCTTTCTTCTCGTCTCTTCCTCACACTCTTCCCTTCCRATTTTATTCTGTTTTATTTTMGGCTCAAAATTGAAATAATACTCTTTTCTGTTCTTCCTGTTCCTTCATTAAATATATCTGTCTTCTCATTTGTTCTCTTCTTCTTTTGTTTCTCCTGACCTCTTTTCCTTCTTTATTTTCCTTCTCTATCCATTCATTTCCAATTCATCCCAATTCATTGATTTATTTCATGTTTAAAATAGAATTTGCCAAGATCTATGAGCGTCTTGATGTGACCTTGATTGAAAGAGGAGAATCATTTTACCAGGATTTAATGAATGATGTTGTACAATTGCTTGAGCAGACAGGTAGGATATTAGCAATTGTTGTTAAGTATGATAGCTTTAGTTTGGTGCTTTGTATTTAAAGAAAAAGATCGATTATGACACCAGTTAGTGTAGCTAAGGCATATATTTACTACTTTCCTCAAGTAAAAAGTAGTTGTTTTGGTATTTTGTTTTTTTTTGGTTTTGTGGTATTTTCGTCGGATGGTTGGGCTGAAGGAAGATATCTACTAGATTATGATTGAACTTAAATGACTTTATTCAACTGCCATTTTGTTACGTGTCCAAAAACACAGGCATCCCAACAATTACACAAATGATGAGGYGTGCCCAAATARTACACTAKTAATCAAAGATCTCAGTTTACTAAGACATTAGTATTGGCCATTATATAAACCCTTGAACACACAGGGTTAGAATCAGAAAACTCATTTCTTTGAAACCAGGAAAACAAAGGGAGCATGACTTTGAGTTTGTCGAGTTATAACACTATAGTTTTATACTATTTCTTTCACCAGGAAAATTAGTGARGGAAGATGGTCGCAAGGTATTMTTTGTTCCTGGACAGAAAGTTCCTCTTACAGTTGTCAAGTCTGACGGAGGGTACACATATGACACATCTGACTTAGCTGCCTTAAGACAAAGAGTTCATGACGAGAATGGCGAATGGCTAATCTATGTAACAGATGCAGGACAGGTAAACGTTATTTAAGAAATAGTAGAAAACAAAGCAGCTTTGTAAATAACTGTTAAAGGGAGCAAAGGTGACCAAAACACTTGTCTATCACTGCTAGTTGTATTTTTTATGACTATTTTTATCTGTAGTCATCGCACTTTGATCTTGTGTTTGGTGCCTGTCGTGAAGCAGGAGTTTATGATCCAAGGAGAGTGAGAATAGATCATGTTGGCTTTGGTGTTGTACTTGGTGAAGACAAGTAAGTGTTAAAAACTTGATGATTTYTGATCACACCCCACCGGTTACTCATAACAAAGGAAGCCCGGCCGCATTGCTTACAGAGAGTGAATGATAATATAACAATATCTGTCTTCAAAAAGGAAAAAGTTCAAGACTCGATCTGGAGAAACTGTTCGTCTCATTGATCTCTTGGATGAAGGAATAAGAAGATCTGAAGAAAAACTGACTGAAAAAGGGAGAGACAAGGTTGGTGCTTTTGTCTTTTTTGTCATTGTCATTGTCAAGTAAAATGCCGTTTGTTATTTCAGGTGCTCACCCCWGAAGAACTCAAAGCAACAAGTGAAGCAGTAGCTTATGGCTGTGTGAAATACGCTGATCTTTCTCACAACAGAATCAATGATTATGTCTTTTCATTTGATAAGGTATATAGAGTACAAACACTAAAACTGTGCAACATAAATACTACTAAATACTGCTAAATTATGCTAATTCTATTGTTTTCTATTGTGTAATTAACACTATTTTGTAGTAAATAGTGGAAAGTATTTCACACATTTAATGTTTGTACTCTACAAACAACATTTGAATTATCGTGCGCTTTTTAGCATATCATTGTACATGCATCTTAGTTTTTTTTACATGTAAAGCGTGTCTCAATTCTTGCATAAACCTTTAATGACGTTAAAGTATGTACAATAGTTATAAAGTACCCCATTTCATTGTTGTTTTTTTAGATGCTTGATGACAAAGGCAATACGGCTGTATACCTTCTTTACGCGCTAACTCGAATAAGGTAAGGCGATTGCATTGGTATTAATTGTACAAGTTAACCATGTTTAACTAACCATTTAATGCGTGTTTCAGATCAATTCAGCGAAATGCCAACGTAGACAAGGCCACACTCGAAGCAAGCTTCGCTAACACGCGAGTTAGTCTCGAGCACCCCAAAGAGTGGAAACTTGGCAAGTGCATTAGTCGTTTTCCAGAAGTCTTGTCTCGCATTCTCGACGACCTCCTAATGCATTCACTTTGTGAATACCTCTACGAGCTAGCCACGACTACAACTGAATTCTACGACAGTTGTTATTGTATTGAGAAGGATAAAAGCGGAAATATCGTCAAAGTGAACATGGATAGGCTTTTGTTGCTTGAGGCAACCGCTAGAGTTATGGAAACCAGCTTTAAAATTCTGGGGATTAAAACTGTAGCTAAAATGTAATTGTTAATGAAGCATAAAATAAACAGAACTGCTGTAGTCGTACTTTGGTCAAAGATGAAACGTTTTCCTGGTCTCGTTAATCAGGGGCGTGTCCAGAGGTTTGCAGGGAGGAGGAAGCAGGTGAAAGGTGGCCGAAACCCCAAACCCTGTGCAAGCCCCAATTATCTTTAGCATACTTGATCTGATATTGACAARACCCCACCGAAATCTCATATTGACAGCACATCAGTACACAAGAACACTCAGGTCTCATCGTAACACAGCGGTGGATTAGATCGAACTAACAAAAGAGCTCCTCTCTCTACCCCACTAGGGTCTCATATTAGTAACACAGAAACACGATTTTTGATGTTATGCAAGTCAAAAATTGATTCCAGTGAAGAAAATACGCCAATCAAAAGTCTGGTTTAATGAGATTACAATAAACATATAGTTTCGATTAATGTGCTAGTGATGTACAATTTAAGCATGCGATAAATCAGATCACGCCTTTCTATAAATAACTTTTGATTACTATTAATAAAAAAAAAGCAAAGCTGATAGACCTGACCATGGCCAATCAGATCACGCCTTCTAGACAACCTACTTGATATTGATTATCAGTAAAAAGCAAATTTCTAGGTACAAAGGAACTAAATCGGCCATGAAGTCTCTCCTTACATTGTTTAATTAGTAGTCTAGATGGCGTTCATCACAAGCAATGGTCAGTCAAACGTTGTCCCMCTTTAGAGTAGCTGCAGAAGCAGTAGAAATTTGTTTCATTACTGTGCTTTTTTCCCTACAATTTCACGTTCACTTTAAAAGCCTGGATCAGCCTACAATAARTATTGATTAGTAAAAGTTGTATAAAATGTTGATTAGTGCCCCAGCACTTGTTCAGCGCTATTGTTTCATGATTCGACTAAGAATGCATAGGTAAGCTTAGAGAGTACAAGGTTTAGACCATCTATCCGAGGACCAAATCATACAGGGGTCCATATAGACTACAAGGGATAGTACCATTTAGTGCCTAGTAGTACCTACAAATCAATGAGTTGCTAACAATGATCATCTATGAATGGTGATTATGATCAAAGTGTACTGACAATTGAGTCAGAGTTCAAGGTCAAGTGGTTTAGTTAGTTCATCAAGCTGGAAGGCKGCTGGTCCATCAAAAGCATTGATCAAGTATGGAGGAGGAGGCTCGTCAYYTTGAGGAGACGCMGACTCATCGTTGGTCTTGAGTTCGTAATTAGGAGCAGATCCTACCTTTCTTGATTTCAAAATGACGAACTTCAAAACGACGACTACACCAATAACTATCAACACACCTCCCAGTAGACCAAGACTAATWGCCATGCCTGTKACCTTTTCCTCAGAYCCTGACACGCAAAACACTTAAATATTAACTGAAATTACAAGATTGACTTTAGTCCCGGTAAAACCGAGTGAAATATTCAATAATGTATATGATACACCGAAATGACAAGAGCAAAAGTAATAAAAAAACACTCAATATATTTTTCTAATTTTCTCATTTCGTTGTTACTTTCTATCCATCCATCTTTCCATTCGAATTCGTTACCTTTGTTCCGGTCGGTTTCACCGCCGATTTTCTGTCCAGAAAGCGGACCAGTCGATAAGTCGTACGCATTACTTGTATCATCATAATCTTTAGTTTCACGACGACGTCTTCTTGACCCAATACAGCCTTGTGAACACCTCGAGTTGGCAGAGTTACGATGACAAACCATCAGATGGCAGTGAAGATAAACTAGTCTATTACTAGTGWGGAGAAAACGGAACGACTTGATGGAAAACCTCTGGACATTACTGTATGGGTCATAGTTGTAAAGCATGGTATTGTCCTTCTTGCAACTGGTGAAACAAATCAAATCAAGCTTTTAGAAACAAGAAACTTGTAACTTAATCATTTCGTTACAATCCATTGTCAACCGTTAGGAAAATTATTGCTGACATCGCCTTCTTGTGACGATATATTTCAGTTTTATAATCTTCTAAAGTGATCAATATTATCTCAACTATTCGCAGTGTGAAATGGATCTAAAACTCACATGAACGATTACCCATCACTTACACTTACCCATCTTTTAAGAACTCATACTGGGGTGTTGAGTAAGGATCYGTTGATAACGTTGCACGACAYTTCTCAGCAAACACCACCAGATTTCCAATTGTGTTGATGACTTTATATTGTATCCAYAGTGTTTGGRCAAGGACCACAGACACGGGATATTCATCCTGCTTGTACTTTTCCTGGTAACCACCAGACTTGTAGATATTCATCATGAACGTGAAGTTACCAAAGTTTCCTGGAATATCGATCGACGTAAGTGGTAAATGATTAAAACACAAAACAAAATACGACTAGGTGAGTGGACTGATAACGAGAAATATTCAGAGAAATATTTTACCTTCAGAAATTTGCARGATCTCCTTGGAAGCATTAAAGCTGGTACTAACGACTTTTCGTTTGGAGTACTTGCAATGAAACTTAAGAAGGGTGGTGCCATCTCTTGATATGACTGKGCTGGTGTGCCGTTTGTTGTCTATTATCTGACATAAGAAACATAGTTTCTACTAAACAAGCATAAAATCAACAGCTAGATCGACTTTCTAAAGTACCTTGTAGTCCCTACCAGTCCCATATCATTTTTCTAATGGTAATTGTGATTTATCGAGGAGCGAAATTTATTTCACTATTAGTCCCATTCATTGTACATTTTACATTGCCTCAACAAATTTTCTTAAATTTCAAATACTTAAGCATTTTCGATGTGCGTCAACTTTGCTGTGCACCATTGCTTCCCACCTAAAACCTCTCGAATATCTCGGCATAGATTAAGTGATATACAGCTATTTCAAAAAACGTTGTCGGGGAGACGGCGAACGGCGATTGTCGAAAGGAGATTGCACGACCGAAAGGGACTATGGTTACACTGTTTTGATAAACAAAATTTCACTTATTGGATCGATATTGGATTCATCATGCAACGAAATGGAGACTTAGGGAACCAATGTTTAGCACAATGTATCTTACCGTATAAATCATTTATTATTTCTCATTAATTAGCAAAACCATGGCTACTTTCGGTCGTGCAATCGCCGTGTTCGACAATTGACATTCGCCACTATCCGACAACCTTTTTTGAAATAGGTGTATATATAATGTAGTTTGACTCGCTGCCTCCACAGCCTCCACAGCGTGTTGTTCTATTTTACCTTATTTTCAAACACTATCGTATCATTGTCTTCCTTATGAGTAGTACCACAACCGTCGAGAGGCGCACGGATTACAATATTCGATGGTCCATTTCTTGCTACGCAGTTTGAGTCGATCAGTTGAACGTCTCGCCAGTCAGTGTTATTAAGGTAAGACTTTTCTAGCGATACCTCCATGTAATCGGCTTCACATTTCACTTTAACCATAAGATCTAATAAGGACAGGAAGGCAGGGTTAACGAAAGAACGACAATCTCAAAATTATTCTAGTACCCAGACAGCTTAGAGGAAAATGAAAAATTGATGTAATGCCGAATGACTGAGAGTAGCCTGGGTACGAGCTAAGGCTCTGGGAAACCAAGTAATTTCAAGTCACCTGATTGGCTAATTGTTCCATGAAAGGGAGAGTCTGAATGAAAGTGGATGGGTATTGGGTCTAGTCTTCTTCGTCGTGGAGGATACACAGGAAAACACAGAATTTAAATAACTCCATCAGTATTATTAAGAGAAAAAAAGTACAATACTTACTTGTCTCACAGTTGCGTCCATTATATCCTTTGGCACAGGAGCAGTAATAACGATACGAAGAACTTTGACATGTTCCTCCATTGTAGCACGGCTTTCCACTCACGCAATTACTGCCCTCTGTTGTGAGTTGTTATGTGAAACTGTATTAATGTAACTTTCACCCGGGTTTTGGTTTGGTGATAGATATGATACAATATCATACTTTRAAGTATTTAAAAATTCTTATATTGCCATCGCATCGTCTAGTCTCCTTCGCATCCGTTTTCGTGTCGGGCTTCCTGTTGAGGGGAGGGACAGGAAGCCCGACACGAAAACGGATTCGAAGGAGACTATCGCATCGTAGTATAAACTAGGGATATAGGACAAGGGATCAGTTATATTTTGGAGATCAGGGACCCCCTGTGATCAGGGATCACATCTTTCGTTGTTTTGTTTGAGTTGTTTTTACGAAGGGGGGGAGGGGAGAAAGTGATCAAGGATAAAAATTATCGCTATTTTTGGCATCAAAGACCTAGATACACAAATCACTTAAAAAGTATATATATTGATAAAAGTACGGACCTGGTCCATTGCCGCAGTATCGAAAATCACATGCCGGTGTTCTGTCAAGCTCATAAACATAGAAACCACCACAGTTTTTGACTCGGATTGTGTTGCTCCAGTGGCAGCATCTGTAGTAGGTGCCAAAGCATACTGAGCGTGTCACAATCCCTTGTTCTACAGTCGGATGTGAACCAGACATCCAACCAGAATACCCTGTGTTGCAATGATGTTCAGGAACGCARGATGTTGCTATGTGTTTCCCTGCAGCACCAGTAWAACGGTACCAGCCCTTGGTCAGGTCGTAGTAATCACATCTATATAGACTTGTAGGATGATACCTCGACCGGTCTGAAGAACTCAACTCTGTGTAATTGTTACACACGTCTAAATTGAAAATAAAATTGTTTGAATATCACAGGCAGCCCAACCATTACGTGTGGTAACCTGGACCATAAAATGATTTAGTATAACAACTTACCAAGTGAATCACAGTATTTGCCTGTATACCCACGAGGACAGCTACAATTATATCCACTTGGTGTGGTATAACAAGTCCCTCCATTAMAACATGAGCAGAAAACTGAAAGAAATACATTCTCGCAACAGTTTTACAGCCATACACTGGAAAAAATCGCGCGCTTTAAAGGTTGTAAATTTGATGTAAATATGATGTAAGTGTCCAAAATTCTGTAAATTTGATGAAAATGATTTCAATTAAATTTACAGAATTTTGGACACTTACATCATATTTACATCAAATMTTCAAKCTTTAAAGAGCGCGATTTTTTTCCAGTGWTATGTCCTGGAAACAATTCTATGAGCGCTAACCAGWCTTCTGCATATTTTACACCCAACCCCCACCCCTCCCCCCAATGTAAATGTTATTTGGTTTTCATTGACAAAATCAAAAGAAAGGTTATAGAAGATTGACATAATAAAAACATCCCAATGTATTTCACATTTGCAATTCTATATTTCATCATTGACTGAGGGTTGAGAACCAAGTGTTTACGAATTCGAAAGCAAATCAATGGTTCATCATTGAAGTTGTCAGGTCTACAGTCTCTGAAACTATTTTTCTTCGTAGTCCCATTACAATATGAATACTCAATTTACCTGCAGACAGTACGAACTTAATTTGATAAGGAATGGAGCAATCTAGATCTGAAAGAAAAAGACAAAGAAAAAGAAAAAGTCAGAGATATTTTAATACCTTAGCGTGAAAATATCGTGACAGTTTTTTGATTCGACTAATGTCACTAGCTGTACTTATACAACTTGCGATCTTGGGCTTATATTAACCTCTACCCCTCGTATACCGCATAACCGACCCGATCACGTGAGCTGCGTCCTTCGTAATTCAGCACTCGGGCTGCAAGGATGGGCGATTAGCTACCACTAATTTATTTATTTATTTATTTACCAACCACACGGCGGCCACTCCCAAATGATATACAGCCATGGCTGGTTGAAATGCGAATATAGTCCATCGATACATGGTGTACAGAATTTTTGTCGTATTTCGTGATTAATTAAGCTTAGTATATATTACTGAAAATATCACGTTATTTTAACAAGGTTAAAACAAYGAAACGGCGATGAGTCCCGTTTTTTTATTCCAAGAACTCTTATCTAATATCTGCGAATCATGGTCTCCCAAGAACATGATGTGTTGTTTTAATTTAAAAGTATTCAGTCGTTCTTACCGGAACAAGAATTGGACGAGTTTCCTCCAACAAGTGCAATGAACAGTCCACATGATGCATTGCGAGCTAAATCAGAAAGTCTACATTCAGCTAGTTACTCCATATACCATGTCTACAAACGAGCCGTTTTGTGGCAAAGTTTTATACATGAACAAAGACGATTCCTATGTATCTTTACTACTAAAGGTCCCAGAAATCAGTTTTCATTCTGGCTGATATGTTATGCCCCCTAAAAGTGTAGAAGCGCAATTTCGTCCCCCAAGAATTAATGACCCACAAGACTATATGTTCTTTCTTAGGATTTGTATGTGTGTGCACTAAATCAGGCAATGATTTAGGGACAGTTCATAAAATATGGAAAAGAGGAAAAGAAAAAAAAAACCTTGGGAGGAAAATTCGCAGCCCCCCTTACTCACAATATTTTTTCGACCCTCCGTCCTTCTGACATTGAGGAAAATTATGTGTAAAGCAATGTCAAATAGCTAATCTTAAAACTTTAAAAGGAGTCACAAAAAAGCAAGTGAATGCTTAATATGTAATTAGACGGCTATAAAAAAGAAAGTAAAGTTGTTTAAAATTATCATTGATAAGAAACTTATAAATTGAATAAAAAAATATTGATATTATATATTATACATACTTTAATTCTGTGTATCAACCCCCCCCTCCTTCAAAGCCTCCCCCCTACTTTTCCTCCAGCTCCCCCTCAGGCATAATTAATGAACGGTCTTTGTACCTTTGCAAATGTCATTTAACTCCACTGATGTACCTGAGAACGAAAAGTATAATTATTCATTGAGCACATCATGATATTTCCTAGATCATTACCGTTGTAACTACTGCTCCACTGGTTTTCATAGGCTGAAAAACAAAATACCATCAGTAAGTGGTTATTGCTATAATTCTTCAGCCTCTAGTCAAAYGTAATGGGAGGATTACAATAGGTGTAATTATGGACTCAATATTGGAATAATTTTGTATCGCATTTTTCCAGAAATCACATCAACATGTTTATCTATGTAAATCACAATGTAACAAAAAGAAACAACTGTTTTATTCTTCAATACCTATGTATTTAAAGTCGTGGTTGTCCTCATCAGGTGTGCTGTAGTTCCATGAACCATAAATGATCAATGTACCAAAATATGACGTTATCTGAAATTAGGTGTTGAGAAGCTAACTGAATTTTTCATTGAGATTTTTACAATCAATGTCGACAAGGGTTGTAAGACATTAGTGAAAACCCGCTTTACAGCCACAAGAAAATACACCTCAAATCACAATTTTAAAAAGAAATCGTGTATAGCTTCTCAGTAAAATCTTCGTGAGATWATTATGACATACCGTTATTCTGATGTTCACATTGTAAATAGTCACAGAATCCAYTTTAAAATACCGCGGTTTTCCTGGCGATACGTATCCTGTTACTTGGTTCTGATTGTAGCTTGATGTGTTTAAACTTTGTACATCGGGTTTCAAAACGGTTGCCGCTAAAGAACACGCACTCTTTAGTAATTAGCCTTAGATTCTGGGTAGCAAACACAACGATTTTAGCAATAATACTTACTATTGCATGTTTGGTTTTTGAGTTGTTGAGCCAAACCTATCAGTTGGTTGAAGTCATTTGTACTCAACACGTGTTTGTACGGATCAGTAGCAATAAGTTGAAGCTCAGCGAGGTTGTAACTACCAACACCTACAGCGACCATTGTTAACCCTGTATAAACATGAGATGTTAGTATATAAAAAATTGACTAAATTGGTTGGTTGTCAATTGCTTGATGGGTTGGTTGCTTGGTTGCTTGGTTGGTGGGTTGGTTGGTGTGTTATTGTTGGTTGGTGGGTTGGTTAGTTGGTTGATGGGTTATTGTTGGTTGGTGGGCTGTTTAAATGGTTGGTGGGTTATTGTTGGTTTGGTGGGTTGGTTAGTTGGTGGGTTATTGGTGGTGTTGCTTGGTTGGTTGGTTGGTTGGTTGGTTGGTTGGTTGGTGGGTTGGTTAGTTGGTTGATGGGTTATTGTTGGTTGGTGGGTTGGCTAGTGGGTTATTGTTGGTTGGTGGTTTGCTGTTTGTTGATTGGTTGATTGGTTATTGTTGGTTGGTTAGTTGGTCAATGGGTTATTGTTGGTTGGTGGGTCGGTTAGTTGGTTGATGGGTTATTGTTGGTTTGTTGGCTGGTTAGTTGGTTGATGGGTTATTGTTGGTTGGTGGGTTGGTTATAGTTGGTTGATGGGTTATTGTTGGTTGGTGGGTTGGTTAGTTGGTTGATGGGTTATTGTTGGTTGGTGGGTTGGTTA